AACAACTCAATTCCTACATTCCATTGCCAGGCACGTCACCTAAGTAGAGGGAGTGGGTGGGAGGGTAGGACTCAAGGAGTTAGAGTTGGGTAAAGAGGTGGAGACATTTGAAGGTTAGAACTCAAGGTTAAAATTAATCTGATGGAGATTGGGGAGCCAGTGGAGCATGGCTCGAATGGGATTGATGTCTGGAAAAGGAGAAAATGAAGCCTGCCTTCTCATTAAGTCAATTAATAAGATAAAATGGAAATAGATGGAGGATTATACATGCATCTTGGAAATGACTCAAAAAAGAAGTTTAAGATTACATCTAGTAGAGCTAAGAAAAACAAGAGCAAAATATACTGAATATTTTTTTCTGCTTGGTGACTCCAGCTAACTAACAACTTGCTTGCTTGACAGCAACTGAATTGTGAAGATCAAAGCTAGAGATATTGTTAAATGTGAACAATAGAGATTATACCCAAGATTCTGAATCTGAAATCAGAAAGTAAACCAAAGATGTCGTGGGCCAGCAGGGATTTAATCCAAACGGTTCTCTCAGTACTCTGATAAAGTGGGCAGATAAAGCATGGATTCTGCTCCAAACTGCACAATTGTTACATAAATTCAGCAAAGTTAAACGAGGGCAGAAACAGGTAAAGAGAAATAATTTGGTTGGAATTATGGGATTCTCTGCTATAAATTATAATTGTGGCTTACTGGATGAATTTTTTTTAAAGGGAAGGAGTTTCAAAGAGGCATATTGCAAAGTAATAATAATCCTTGCATTTAATATTGCGCCTTATCAGGTCTTCAAGGCATTTCAAAGCACTTCACAGAATATACCGTAAAGTGAATTGACTATATATTTTGTGGGCGAAAGTACAGTGAAACTCTGATAATTTGCCCCTGGGATAACTGGGAAACCCCACATAATTAGTCACGCATTCAATATCCCAGTTATTTGAGTACTTTGTCTTTCGATAACTAATCAACTCTGATAAGTAGGCATTTGAGCTATTCCCTTGGAGTGATGAGTTATCAGAGTTTCACTGTAATGGGAGCGGGGAGGGTGGGATTAGATCAGTTGGCTAACATGGAGGATAACACGAGTGCACACTTTGCAGCTTCAGCTCTTTCTGGGCTTTAGCATTCTGTGATTCCCTGAACTGAGTCAGTACTGAGTACAAACAAACAGCTTTCAGAACTTACAAGCGAGAGGTATGCAAATGGCTTCAGAAAATTGCTGAATGTCATGAAGAGATCTGTGAAGGACAAGGTCACCATTGACTGCCAATATCTCAGTGAGCAGCTACAGGGGCATTGCTGTCTCAAGATGCAGTCACACCACCGTGTAGGAGGCGGTTATAGTGGTTAGGCGAGAGGAAGAGACCCAGGCAAAATTTCAGAACACAATCATTTTTGCTGGTCAGACAGGTATCAGACACACAGAAACCAATCACCATGTTTAAAGTTCTCCAAAAACTACTGAGCGTTCCACACACGTATGGTTTTCATTTGTCTGGTATGGAATACACAGCTTTGACCCACAGATCCGCACCCTGCTTACCTAGTCCACCCAATCTAATCTAAACGTAGGTGCAGGTTTGTAAGTGCAAGATGTTGATTTATATTGAGATGCTGGGATGAGAATCTTAACTGTGATCTGTTAATTAACACATTGAAGCTTTGATCAATGAACTCTTGATTTTAACATTGGAGGAACTATGAAGCTACCCTTGCTACGAATTGGAGTGCCAATTAGCAGGCTCCTGCATTAACTCAGATTTTATTGTTGTGTTAAAGCAGTATCCCACTCCCCCTCCTTCCAATGGGCAGAGTGGGCTGCTTCGATTCAGCCTTTGCGATGGACTGGTGAAGAAGACAGTAACACCCTCAGAACAATAAATAAATAAATCAAATAAATTCAATCATTTTTTGACAGTGTGTTAATTAACAACAACACAGGTCCCAATTTTCACCTCAATATTCATGCTGACTTGTGCATCGTTTTATACTGTGCATCAATACCCACTGGGAAGTAACCTGAAATTAGTTTGACTTGTTTCACTTCCTTAAAAATATAGCAGTCAGAGAGAGCAGGCTCTCAGCCCATTCGTTTGTACTTAGGGAAAAGGCAATTGCCTCAGCCATTCATTTATTTGTGTGTTTTGTGGGGAGGCAGTCATGAGTGCAAATGGTACAAGTGTTCTCACAGTTAGTTTAGGAGGACTCTCAGACATTCCCAGTAGAGGATCCTCATCTGGTCTTCTGCCTGTATATATTTGTTGAAATGAATGGCCTCGCCACGCTTTGCGCCTAATACTCTCTGAGAGAGCGCATTCCATTCCATGCACACAAATTTCTATGTGTAGGTGACATGCATGGAACTCTTTACTTTGGTTTGGATACTCTTAAGCATTGTGACAGGTCTCTGCACATGTCAGACATGTTGCCAATCTCAAAAAAAAATTGAATTCAATGATGCCTACATACAGTATTTGATACAGTGAGATTGAAAAATTGCATATTGGATGTTGCTGCTCTAGTTGTGACATTCAGTGTGCTAACTCTGCTTTTTCAGATACTTTAAATATTTGGAACAAGCTACAGTGATATTTTGTTAAAATATCTTACTGAGGCTTGGATTACCTGGCTCATGTGCGTAAAACACTGGCATAGGCTTGAGGGGCTGTGGCATATGCTGTAACATTCAATGGTTTACTGCTGATATAAATAGTGCTGCAACCAAGCACCAAATTTGAGGTTCTTGCTTATTGGCAAATCTAGGATTAATATACTAAAGTAGATCAAATATTATTTCACTATTCAATATCATGCCAAGATATTGCTCTGGGCAGCATTGTTACTGCATTGTTTTTGAATGAGTTTTAGCCACTGATAATGGTTCCATCGTATAAAAATTTCCTCCAGTGCCACTCCTACAATAATTTCCTATTAGTGAAGACCAGTTGGAATGGATTGAATGGAGGAAGTCACTAACCCATCCAGGATTCAGAGACCATAGTTTGTATGTGAAATGCTAGGTTCCTGCTCCAGAGTTTCTGCACTTAAACTGGTGGAGTCACATTGGTGTGATACTGATAACCCAATGACATGAAAGGTGCTATATAAATGCAATTTGTTGTTGTGCTGTGATCTTGTATTGTGTTGTTTCGAGCACAGCAAAAACAATATTATAACAGCAAGAAGTAATCGGGGAGGAGATTAAAACCCTAAGGGATACAAAGGGTGTTGAAGATAAGAAGATATTATAAACATATTAAGTTACTACTTGTTTTTTTACCAACATTTTTAAGAACACTAACAATGTGCTGTTCAACATTCCACACATGTCATGTGAGCCCCCGGGACGTTGACATTAGCAAAACAGAGGATATACATAACCTCAAAAGGCTGAAACCCAATGAATTCCCCAGGATGGATGAACTATAGGACAGCATATTTAGAGAGCAAGGGAGATCATTGATAGTTGTTTTGAGAGAGGCCAGAACATTGGGGAGGTTTTGACCGAGCGGAAACAAACATATGTGGTTCCCATTTTCCAGAAGGATGACAGAGCTGGCAACTAGAAGCTCTATTCTTTAGGCCTTTAGCTTGTGGACTTATCTGTTGCACTAATTTTACATGAGGCTCTAGCTATATTATGGGAGACTCTAAGGTGGCTGGGCTGATATTCTTGCTTCATAGATAATAGTCAGAACCTTTAGATTTATAAATCCGGGGATTTCTAAATTTTGGCTGAGTAACAACAACAACTTGGATTTATATAGCACTCTCCACGCCCGACGGTGTCTCAGAGAGCTTCACAGTAACAGATCCTGGGGAGGGGGGAGAAGGTGACCAAAAGCGCAGTCGAAAAGAAAGGACTTCAGCCGAGATCTGAAAATAGGAAGAGAGGGGGAGAGGCAAAGGGAATGAGGAAGGAAGTTCCAGAGCCTTGGGGTGTAGTGGCTGAAGGCACGGCCGCCGATGGTGGAGCGAAGGATTCGGGGGACAAAGAGGAGGCCAGACCCGGTGGAGTAAAGACAACGGGCACTGTTGTGAGGAGAGAGGAGGTCAGAGAGGTAGGGGGGTAGGAGTGGAGGGATTTGAATACAAGGGTGAGGATCTTGAAGTCGATCCTCTCTGGGACAGGGAGCCAGTGCAGTCTGGCAAGGACTGGGGTAATCGGGGAGCGGAGTTTGGTGCAGGTAAGAATGTGGGCGGCAGAGTTTTGGATGACCTGGATTTTATGGATGGTAGCAGAGGGGAGACCAGTGAGGAGGGCAGAGGAGGGCATTTGAATAGTCTAGCCAAGAGGTGACAAAGGCATGGACCAGGGTTTCAGTGGCTTTTGGAGTGAGGTATTGGCGGAGACGGGCGATGCGTCGGAGGTGGAAGAAAGCGGTACCGGTGAGGGACCAGATGTGGGGGAGGAAGGATAATTGGGGGTCGAACTTGACGCCTAGGTTGCGTACGGGTTCGGAGAGTTTTAGGGGGAGGTCAGGTAGGTGGAGGAGGTGAGAACCATGTGATTTTATGGCTTCCGTCTTGTCAACATTTAGCTGAAGGAAATTTGCGCTCATCCAGCTCCTGAGGTCTGACAGGCAGGCTGACAGAACATTAGGGGACTGGGGTTTGCAAAGTGAGGTGGAAAAATAGAGTTGGGTGTTGTCCGCGTACATGTGGAAGTGTACCCCATGTCTGCGGATGACATCACCAAGAGGGAGCATATAGATTAGGAAGAGGAGGGGGCCAAGGATGGATCCTTGGGTACGCCACAGGTAACCAGGTGAGAGCGGGAGGAGTAGTTTTGTGATTGAAAATTAAGTTTTTCCTAGTGTCCTACCGTCACCTCCACTTCACCCACTCCCCTCTCTTACTTGCCGTCCAAACTTGCATGTATAAAGCTCTCTAAGGCATTATCCTACATGAAGGACGCTATATGGATGCTGTTGTTGTTGAAACCCTTGTGGCTAAAGGGTTTGGACTTTATCTTTTCTTCTGTCATCCAGGCATTCGTAAGGATCGTAGAGGTGGGCGAATGCTGAAACACAAGCGACGGAAGGATGAGAAGGATCACATAAACAAAAGTACTGGTGTACCCCATAGACCTCCCTCAAGCAGTGTGAGCTCAGCACAGAAGAATGTAAAGCAGAACATAGTCCTGAGCATGACGTCTGATGAAATTCTGAACACCCTTATGGAAGCAGAGCCACCGATGGTTTACTCTGAGCATGACCCAAGCAAACCTTTCACCGAAGCATCCATGATGACTTTATTAACTAACCTGGCCGATAAAGAACTGGTGCACATGATCATTTGGGCTAAAAAAGTTCCAGGTAGGAAAGTAGAACTCATTGTTTAATTTTTGATACTCTGGTGTGTTTTCTAACTGCGTTAGTTACAGTACAATTCCGACAGAACCGTGACAATTATATAGCACAGTAACAGCATAAATGCAGGAATTGTCATATACAAGAAGCTAAAAATGATGGATGTTGTTCAATGATTTTTACACGCTGTTCACAGGTTACTCTGTGTTCTTTTGTGCCTCCGATAAATTCATATTTAACCTTTTTTGTATTCTTAAAAGCAAGATTGATAGCCATTTTGTGCTCCTGGGAGCAAAGCAACAACACTTCCAACTGAAAAGTGATTTAGAATAGGAAAGCTGGTTTATATTGCCTGCTCCCCAATTGCATTGGCCAAACCTGAGGAGAATTCTGCAAATGCACATCCATAATTTTAATATAAAATGTTATTTACAATGTTATTAAAGAGTCATTCAATTGGTTATTTACTAACATTGAAAGTGATCTGCTGGCATCCATATAATGATCCCAAGAGCTTTTAACTGACCAGTTCTGAGCAGAGCCTGAAGGAGTACATACCATTCACATTTATACTGCAGTGCACATCCCTGCACTGCTCAAAGCACTTTCTCAAAGTTTGTTCACAGCCAAGCTCCAGCTTCACCTCTAGCCCATGTTGCTCCACCTTGATTATATACTGTAGCTTCCATGACAAATTGCTGTGACAATTGTCAGAAAGGGGCAATATAACCGGGCATAAGCAAGGTTTAGTTTCTGGCCTTTCCTACACCGAAGACTCTACCATAGATCGACAGTTTTGGTTCTGAAGAAATTTCTGAGAAAATTCTTAATTGTTTCTGAGTAAACTTAATTTATGTAGCTTCATTTGAGGGTCAGTCACAGTTTGAGGATTTAGACTGAGATAGAGTGTTTTCTCTCTCTGACACAAGAGGAATGGCATGTTGTGACATTTTTAGCATGCTGTATTGATAGATTTGAACTGTTAACCAACAGAAGCTTTAGGAAAAAGAAAGGGTTCCTGTCCTGGACCCATTGGCCAGGGTGTGCACTCCAATCCACTCATGGAAAATACGAATGCTATTTGTTCCAAATTAATTTTCCAAATGGTACTTTTTGCAACTACTGTAGTTCACTTAAACTCCCAGTTTATCTCAATAATTATTGCATTACTGCAAGCTCAGTATTTCCAAAGGACACATGGAAACTCAGAGCATCACTATAAAATAATCACTCTTAAATAATCACTGAGGATACTCAAACTTGCACATGCAGAGTTTGTTGGTTGAGAAAGATTGAGATAGCCAAGGCACATGACTCTTATTTGACTGATATTCCTGTGACTAGTTTATGGGAAATCCACTGCAGTGAACTACTCTCCGTCCAGTTTAACTGTTACCTAATTTGACTTAGACGACACAGTTAACTATAGATGCTGATGCAATGATGAGTTTCACTTCAATGAGCAAAACAAAAATGTACAAATCTGCCCCGGGTTGGGTTGAAAGCACAATAGTCTCTCCAGAAGTAGGTGTTTGCTGAAGCAGAGTGCCTACGGTTTGGATTGAGGCAGGTGTGATGCACTTATAATGTAAAAAATCACAAAATATTCTACAGTAACTATTATCATGTGTAGTAACTATCTTTAGTAGGCAAGGGTGGCAGCCATTTTGTGCAAAGTAAAGTCCCACAAACAGACAAGAAATGAATGACCAAATAATATGAGGGTTTGGAGAAACTGTTTTCTCTTTTTCAATAGTACCATAAAGCTGAACACAGAGGTTGACGTCTTAGCGGAAAATGAGACTTTTGCGGCTGTCCTCCAGTAGTTCCCAGACAGAGTACAACTCTGGACTGAGTGACCCTAGGAGCTTCTCACATAGGAGCAGCTATTAAGATAATACCCGTACATGCTTTTGGCAGGTGCCAGTCTATAATCCTATGGTGGATGTACACTGTTCTCTTTCTGTGGTCTCCTGAGAATTAACCATTCTGAAGCTTCTCATTTGGAAAGTGCTCCTCTCTCTCATTGCTAATTTTTATGCAGCTCTCAGCAATGATGAAAAACCAAATGTGATGAGCCTGAATTGTGGCAAAAATTTGTTCTGGAAACATCAATAATGCTGGGACTAATTCATGAATTATACCTCCCAACTTGTAGGGAAATGTTCCAAATTTTCTGGGCTTCAGAAATGAGTAAACAAACAAAAAAACTCCTGGATGTGTTTCAAAATCTTCCACTTGGACCAGATGTTGAAGAATTAGAAACTGAAACTATTAATCTGAATAAAGGCTTGTGAAAATCACTCGCTCTATCATCAGAGTCAGCATCTGAAATACTGAACAAAAATTATAGTTATAACAAAAAAAGTCCTAAAATTTGATATAGCGCCTTTCATGTCAGGAGATGTCTCAAATTGCTTCATAGGGATTACTGTAAAGTGTAGTTACCGTGCATTTTGTAGGTGAACGCGACAGCCAATTTGTGCACAGCAATGTTCCATCAATAGCCATGAAGCGAATGATCAAATGTATTTGGGAGATTGTTGGTCAGGACACCAAGATAAGCTACCTTCCATTTTCAGGTAGTGGGGTCATTAACGTTTGCTTAAAAAGGCATGCGGGACCTTAGTTTATTGTTTCATCTGAAGGATGGCACCTCCAACAATGTAGCACACCCCTTACACTGTATTTGGCTAAGCCCTATGTGGTGGTTCAACCCCCAACCTTCTGTCACAGAGATGAGACTGCAAGCAGAATGACATCCGTCATCTAGTTTCTGCTTTGCTAAATGGTTGATTGTAATTGCTGTGTTTCTGGAAGTTTGGGAATTTGTTGGATCTTTGACTGGTTTCCAAAAAAAAGGAAGAAGTTCATCAGTGTTTATCAGGATGAGATGTTTTGAGGGATAAGGCTGGATGGCTCGTGTGTGGAGAAACTTATGATATATGTGAATGGCCTGTTTCAGTGATATAATATTCTATGATTCTCTGAGTATGATTTATTGTTTAAGAGACTGTGGAGCATATTGAAACATTGTAAAACAGATGCGTGAGGCGACAAGGCAAATGTACAGACAGAGTGTTGCTGTTTTATAACCAACCCCCAGAATCTGGTGAGATTTGGGCAACATGTGGAGCCAAAATGAATGGGAAGAGAGTGAGTTAGGTGATCGCTTTAGTGGATGAGTCTGAGATGCTGAAAAAAATATTGTCATACTGTATCTATATATGCAAGGCTCCACAGCCTGATTTCAGTTAGAATGGGTTAAAAGCTAGGAACTGGACATTGTATAATTCTTCACTTAGTGCAAGTGAATGTTTCTGTGAGTGTTAGAGTTCTAGCAGTACTCACGATTAGAGCTGTAATGGCTGTATCTGGGAAGGAGTTGAAGATGTGATTAAGGAGGTGGCTGTAATAAAAAAATACTGTCATACTGTATCTATATATACAAGCTGCGCGGCCTGATTTTAGTTTACTCAACAGGAGGTCTCGAGGAGGTCTAATTCACTGTAATTGACAGGAGAGCTTTTGAGATGTCTCTAGAAATTTCCAGGGGAACATTTTTTTTTAATGCATTTAAGTCCTTACAAAATAGGCTGTGGTTATGTAGCTTTTGACCGTACTTTTGTTAAGCACCTGAGCATTGGAAGGAAAAATCAGAAAAGTTGGGGTATGGCTTCCGCTGACATATATAGATAATACAATTTATCTTCACTGTCTAATTCAAATGTTTGACGACATTTTATCATGCAAAGCATTTGAGGCAATGGTTTTAACTTTTTATTCGAGAACCAAACCTTTCCTCCAGCACCAATAATTTATGATAATAATCTTTACATGGCATGTGGTGGAGTGTGGAGCAAGCAGGTCGGAGAGGTAGAAAGATGCCAGGGCATGAAGGGATTTGTAGATGAGTGTGAGGGTCTTGAAGTTGATCTGTTCTGTGATAGGGAGCTAGTGGAGCCTGGCAAGCACTGGTGTGATGGGGTTACGGAGCTAGATTGGATGAGTATACTTGCGGCAGAGTTCGGGTTTAGTTGGATTTTGTGGATAGTGAAGCTGGGGAGACTGGCAAGGAGGGCATTGGAATAATTAAGGCAGGAGGTGATGAATCTGTGGACAAGGATATTGACTGTCAATAGCTAAATATAGTTCTGGCACAATAATTTTTATTTGTTCCACCTTTAAAACAAATTCTACAGATTATTACGACTGGGGAGGTTACCTTGAAATGGATATAATCAGAGTAGTGCAGAAGATAGACTGGGGATTAAGGGACATTATTTGGAGAATGTACCAGGAGCTTTTGCCTGCATTTATGCCTTGCAAACGTTAAACGAGGACCTTGAGAGGCTAACACTAAGTGCAAAAAGATGTTCTTTTCCGCAACATTGATATCTCTCACCTTGATGTACATAAAAAATGACCGCTCTTCAAAACAGTTGGCCATAACCAGAATGCTATAGCTGGCCTGTGAATGCTTGAGGCTAACACTGATTGCAAAAAGGTGTTCTTTTCAACAGTAGTTTTGCAGTGCTAACAATGGCATTCATCCTGAAGAATAGTGGCAAGTTCTTTCTTACAGAAATCAATACAGTGTTGATGCTTGTTGCATTGGCAAATTCCCTACATTGTACATTGAGATTGCATTTGGAGGTAATCTAGTCCTTGGCAGTTCTTTCAAAGTCAGTCAGCATCCCAACTTCAATTGATTTTTGATATTTAATAACCTCAAAGTCCTGTTATCATTCTTGTTGCTTTTTTTTTCTGAACCTGCTCCAGTGCTTGGATGTGCTTTTGAAGGTACGTCCAAACCGCATAGAGTATTCCAAATGTGACTTCACAAGCAATCTAAGCGAGGTTACTCATTGTAGTCAAATGCCCCCGTCAAGTGACATAGAGGGAGAAATTCCACCGGAGTTTAGATTTGCTCTATTTGTGTAGCATTTCAGAGCATCCAGAATTTGGCAAATACGGAACTTAAACCCTTAAGTTTGAAGCCATTT